GATCATATGTGTGTCAAGGGTGAGCCTATCCCCCAAATTTAGGAGAAAGATGCAGTTTCAACCATCTCTCCATCTGTTGCAATATAATCAATAAAGAGATACCCAGTACAGTCCATAGCATCTTAGGAGTGACTGAACACGACAAGCTGAACTGTGCTCTGAGCATCTTATGTGGCTCCTCAAATGTGTATTTATAATCAACACAACTTCATGCTGAATGAACCCACTCAGTGTCACTGACCCGTGCTGGACATTCAGTCCTCCCACAACAAACTTCATCCACAGCACAAACTGAACACCTTGGGCAGACAATCCTGTTCCCCAGCAGTTCTGAGAGACACTTCTGGGAAAAGCTTGCATTAAACTGTCTCTTCAGCGACTTGCTTTTTCACCAGCTGCCTTGAGACTAAAGGATTATAAAGATTAACCAAAAAGGATCCACAAGACATTTTATTCAACTCGCCATCTGAGATATTTGAGCAGTTCTGACTCCAGACAAGTTTTCTTCCCTAGTGCTCCAAGTCATTTAATAACTCTTAGAAGTGTGCAGGGCGGGGGGGGTGGGGGATGGATTTTGTAAAACTACCTATCTAAACAAACCAGTAAGACTCAAACATGGTCATCTGAATCATAGAATGGCGTAGGCTGGAAGGGACCTTAGAGATCATCTAATCCAACCTCCCTGTCATGGGCAGGGACGCCTCTCAACTAGATCAGGCTACTCAAGGCTCCGTCCAACCTGAACACAGTCTTTGGGGAAAAAGCCATCAAAATGTAGTCTCAGTCTGCAAGTGTATTCACAGAGAGGCACGTTCCAGAACCCAACTGGCGAAACAAAAAGCCTGTATTATGCTACATGTTGTATTTCTTACAATTCAAACAAGACTGGAGTCAACAGCATCTCAGATTAAAAAACCTTTTGCCATTGAAGTAGGGACTTACACTTTCAGCCATCTTGTAGCTGTTTTATCCAAGAATAAAAAAATGAGTTAAAACCCCGAAAGTTGGTTTTGTCCCCTGTAAAGTTTCCCATATAGTTTCCTGTATCAAATACTTGAAAAAAAATGCTTTAGAAATCACTTTAAAACAAGTACTCATGGTCTTGTTAACTGAAGTTGACAAGAAATTGTTTCCAGTTTTAAGTTTTTGGCTCCACTGGATTAGTATTTTCATTACCAGCACAACAAATTCCGGCTAAAACAGACACTGGTAGTCTGGAAGTGTTTTGGATTAGACCACCATTTCATAAAGTGCTTGTATTCAAAACCATAGAGCTGTCAAAAAGTGTCCTTTCTGCACAGGGAATGAGTCCTCAGGATGGAACTTCATTCAGCTCAGTCTCTCCCAGTTGTCGCTGGGTTTTGGCACAGACAATTATTAGCCTCCAAGGCGCTGACCTTCTCCCCATGCAAATCCTCCTGGTCGTTCTTCTGGCAAGGGATTGTAATTAGGATCATCTTCTGGTGTATCAAATATTGCTTTCCTGGAAAACAGAATTTTTAAAATTTTCTTTAGAATACATGTTTCACAATAAGACCAAGACTGCTCAAATTCTGTGCATGTACAGCATCCTCCCTCAGAAACAGCCTGCCAAAGCATCAGTGATTTATCCCCAAGTCACATGTGCTCTCCAATTAGAAGCCATCTGGAAGAAGGTCTAGAATTATGTGCCTAACTCAACCAACTGACAAGATTCAGCTGCAAGTTAAAATTCCACCTCCAGTGTAAGGCAGAATTTCATACAGCTAGCATCTTCTCCCAGGACAGGGTAAGTGAGCAAAACATGCATGGGATTTTGAAAAGCTCTTCACATTTTGGGACGAGGACAAAGTAAGAGTTGAATACAGGCAGTATTATCTCAATTTCACAGACAGGATGCAGGCATTAACTGGCAGACTTGAAATCCACAGAAGAGTCTGCATTTGAGGCAACATTAGAGGCTTGGGTTTCCAATCTATCACAAAAATCATGCTTAATCTCATAGGTTATTTTGCCACTCTCAAAACTAGTTTTAGAAGTTCTCTCTCCATAGATTTGTCTTCGCTTTGAAATAAACAAAAAAACCACAGGCTGCATACAAGCAATAATTACAGCAAAAGTGTCTTAAAAGTAAAATGTGTTTAACAAGTCAGTTCTTAGAATAGCTAAAGGAATTATTTCTCTTCACTGGAGTGACAGGCCATTTCAGAGTTTTCAGAACAGGAAAACAGAAAATACCAGGGGTATTACAGGATTACAGCTAAGACATCAAAGAAAATTAAAGCACCTAGGGAAAAAAAATCTACAATTCGAGACCCGGACAAGAATCATAAGCAGCCTTCTGAACACAGACACGTAAAAGGATTTAAACGGCAGCCTGAAGGCAGGCTGACACTCTTTTTCCAGAGGAAGACGGGTACTGAGACAGCACACATTGTTCCAACAGCCTTTGGATTCCTCCTGCACACAGCTAGGTGCATACACCCTCTGAGAAAATCCCAAACACACCCTTATTGCACATGTGTAATTGGACACTATTTGTCTTGATTTGCATTTACGTGAAGGTGGTCCTCCCCAGAAACAGCCTTCAGCTGGCCAAGGCCAAGTTACATCAGCACAGGCCTGCAGAAGCGACCAGCACAGCTGTCTTGCAGCCATCACCTGGTGCCATGACTCACTAAAGACAAAGCCCACACTGAACGAAAATGAACTATCAGTGTAAGCGTACGTGCCCAATGGAACAGGTGCGACCCATCAGTTAGACCAAGCACGGCTCTGAACACCACGTTTTAGTTACCCAGGCTTCTGGAGGCCAGTTCAAATGAAAAAAAGCAACTCAGTTCAGCTTGAGACAATTCTAAGAGCGTCACAGAGCTCAACTTTCAATGTCTCAATTGCTCTATTGTTTAGGCAAGCTGCTCTCAACCAGGCTGCTGCACAGCATTACAGGTGCTTACAGCCCGCTACATAAGAACCACAGAATGGTCTGGGTTGGAAGGGACCTTCAGGATCATTCAGTTCCAACTTGAGAAGGAGCTGAGTAGCACCATTCAGAAGTACAAAAACTGAAGTCTTTTGCCAAAGTTGTGAAAGGAGGATGATTTACAGATGAAAAAAATTAGATACATTGAATAACTCAGTCACTCTGTTCGTACACAAGACGACTCTTCTTGTTCCTCACACCTCAGTAAGAGACGGGCATCTTTGGTGCCACCAACAGGCAAAACTCAGTTAGCAAAGACTAACACTGCTACCAAAGAAATGAAGGGTTACAAAAACCGTTCAGCCCTTCTGCTCAAGCTGCTAGTTCCCACTTGCACATCTGTAAGATCCCCCTCTCTTGTGTGGCAACACACGAGTTAAGTAAAAGAGCAAGTACAGACACACCACAACTATGTCCCGAGCTGCTTAATTTACTTACAGGACAGATGGTGTTCTCAGAAGCCTTCCACCACCAGGCTGATTGGGAAAGACATCCTCTAAGAAAAAATATATATGCCCAACGGCAATGCCTAGTATGTAAAGAAAAGTCAAACAGTGAGGTTTCGATACTTCTCCTTTACAACTTTCAAAGGCTTCACTGGAGTCTTCAGGAAAAAAACGACAAACCATACATTGATTCTTTCACAGAAATACAGTAAGAGATACAGAAACGCCAAATCCAAGGAAGCGCAGTGACATCAGATGAAAAGCTTAGCTTGTACTACCAGCCGTTACTACAAGGAAAACTGCATGTCATTATTAAACACACTGTTGTTATGGTCTTATTAGAATTAATAAAAATAATAATGTAAGATATTTGACTTCAATAGTCCAAAACCCACAATCAGATTATGTACCCAGACTGATTCCAAGCAACAAAAAGCCAAAGCATCAGAAGCCTTTCCATCCTCGTTAGAGCACAAAATACCCTACAGCGTTCAGAAACCAGGAGAGCCTGGTACACACATACTAGACGAACTAATATGAAGTGAAAGGCATTTGGGCTTTTCCACGTTTTGTGTTTCGTGTAAAATATTAGCAGGAACAGATCCTTGTGATTCTTGCAGTTGCTCACCCAGGAGATCCACAATGATGGAGTTCCCCAAAAGCAGTGAAAAGCCCATCAACACCCAGGGTAGAAACGGGGCTTGAAAGATGAGAAGACCAAAAAAGTTCATACGGACATAGGGATTCCTGCGGCTCCATACATACACGAGCATTATTGTGAATGCCTGACCCAAGAAAACCAGGTTCACAAACAGGCCAAAAAGCTGCGACGGTCAGTTAAAGAAAGCAGTTCACCAAATAATTGCTGAGAGGTCAAGCATGAGAAGAATTTGACAGCTTGACCTGTAACCCCACGTTTTCCATACAATTCCTATCTCTCCTTTCCCACGTTCAAGTAAACCAAACCTTCTGTGGACCAATTCAACACCAATAGTGAGACCCAGTGTACCTGCAGCATGGACGATCCCTTTGAAGTACCATTGAGCATGAGCTCGCTGAAACAACCGTGTTTCTCTCAGACAATCTGAGCATGGTTACACACCCGGGCAGTCCCCTGTTATCTGCTCATCTCACTTCCATAATCCTGTCAAGCAGTAAAAAGTCTAAACAGACCAGACCCCTATTTAACAGCAACAGTCCTAAAGCATCCAAAACGACTTCAACAAACACTGTTATTCCTCTTGCTACAAAGAAAATATATTTTCACCTAGGAATGAAGATAAACATAACATCATGCTTTCAGTTCTCATTCCCATATGCTTAGGCTTCACTAAAGCAGTCTGGAATGAAAAAAGGATACAGTCATTAAAAGTCCTCCAAAAAGGAACATAAATACAAAATCTGCCGTCCGACCTCGAAAAGAACCTTCTTCGAGCATTCGGCAGTAACGATATCTGAAGCCGCAGGTCAGGAAAACTTGATTGGAAATGAGTTTAAAGAAGGATCCAAGCAGAAAATGATTCAGTTATACATGAGCTTAGATGTAAGTTTTCTACCCATTTACTTCATCAATTGGCTCTTTCTGGGTGTCTCAGCAGAAAAGGCGACCCAGGAGAAAGAAGTTACTTGGAATTTTCTCCTGTACGTCAGAACCAACCCGAGGGACCAGGCTGTTGTACAGCAAAATCTTAACACTGCAAAAATAAATGCCAAAATTCTTGGCAACTCATGAAGGAAATCCCGTTGATGTCCATTCACAATATCAGTGAAGCTGGCATTGCTAAACGTCCAGAAACTTCACAGTGGAGCAGAGCTGCACCTTTGCCTAAATGCAACATATAGCAACATGCCTGTGCTCTGCTTTCCAAGGAAAGAAAACAAACTTCATGAAGGATACAAAAAGATCATGTTAAATAAAAAATTAAAGCCCACTGGTCCAAAGAATAAGTAGTTTGTGATTAACCTCCATACCTGGAAGTAAGAAAAATAAAAGGACTTTAAACATGACAGCTTATTTTTACTGTCTAATTAGAAAAACAAGTAGCAATGTAACTAAAGTTTCCTTCACAGTCAATGAATCCAAGCCCCATGCTAAGATACAGTGATTTGTACATCGCTTCACAGCTTTCTTAAAGCATAACTTCAATATTAAAAGTCAGTCATTTGTAATACCCAATTCTGAGAGGACAAGCACTTGCAAACTCAACGGTGTACTTAAAAACCTCCCACACTTCAGAAAATACTTACTTGAAAGTGCTTAAATATTAATTCAGGGTTGAAATACAGCTGAAAGGGTGTGATTAGTTCTAATTGCTGAAAAAAAAAGAGAATATTTGACGGAATCAATGCACCAAGAAGAAGCTACACGCACTCTAAGAACTCCCTTTGTGCCGAAAAGAGCCGAACAAGCTTTCAGCGCACCGAGCTTTGCTAGCAAAAACACGCCTCGGCCACTCTGCAGCCCCCCTCGCGTTACTATTTCTGAGTGCGTGGCTCCTTTGCCGGCGGCACCGCAGGCTGACAGCGGGGGCCCCGCAAGCGCTGCTCTCGGGGGGTGCCCTCCGCCTCG